TGCCATGTCGTGTTATCAAGTTCACCCATTCTGATTTTTTGCAATAGGTTATAGAATTGGGTGTCTTGGCTTTGTCTTTGGGGTTCGCGAAGAAATAACGGGTAAAAAATTTTTCATATTGGAGATTGATAGATGGGAGAGCCAGTGACCAGGGGTAATTGGGCCAGATCACTGACTAAAATGACGTTGATACCTCCGAATAGGGTATTGTTTTTATGTAATGATTCGAAAAGTTCAGAAATGTATGTTAGAAGTTGGTCTGATACCATGGAGATCTTGTCGATTATGAGAGTGTCTATTTGGAGGAGTGAGTTGTTTAGTTCTTGGTCATAGAATACAAGAGTTTTGAATCCGTATTCATCAGAGATGATTCGTAATGCAGAGTGTATTGTCGGTCCACCAATATTTTGTGCAGTGATTCCGGTTGGGGCTAATAGTAAGTAGTTTTTGTTGGTTCTCTGAAAATTTTCTAGTAGTAGGTGTATTATATAAGATTTTCCAGTACCCGCTGGGCCCGTGATGAAGAAAAAGGAATAGTATGAACCATTTTGTGAACCTAGGTAGTTATTTATTGTTTGTTGGCAGTGATATTGACTTGGTAGTAGGTTTATGATTGAGTTAGTGGTTACAATCCGTGGTAATATTTTTATAGAATTTAATTGGATTTTTATTATATCGAGGATGTCTGTTGTTAAGATCGAGTTTAGTGATAAGGTTATCGTTTCGATGAGAGAGTTGAATTGATTTAAGGCATGCGATGTTTGTCTTAGTGTAAATTCGTGATTTTGTTCGTAGATGAATTGGTATATGCTTGGAAAAGAGCAATAAAATGATCTCAGTAATTTTGGTAACTGCCTAATATTTCATCTTCAGACCTGTATGGATATTTTAGTAGAAGCTGTTGATAAAAGTATAATTCACTATGTTCTACCTGTAGAGATCGCATGCGCGTAAGTATTCGGTTAGTGCGCTTGATAACAAAATTTCTGAGATCATCTTGATATATTGTTCTGTTGGATGTGTTTGGACATATTGATTTTATTTCGTATATTTCAAAGTAAGTTTTATATAACATATTGTCAAAGATAGAGTCACGCAGTCGTGCTAAATATTTTTCGATTTTATCATTCCAATAAGGGTCATTCTCAAATGAATCAAGCATGTATATTGGAATAATTGCTTTGGATCGGGTGGACGGAGGATCCGTAGTTAGGTATTGGACTTGTATCGATGAGTTTACTTACGTTCGCCAAGTAGTAAAAACATTATTTCCATCGAGCCCATTCGTCAAGCATGGATATATTCACGGTAGTGTATTTGTTCCCATACGTTGAATAAATGTGTAGGTTCTGATTTACTTATGTATTTCGTTATATATTTGGCAAGTCCTTTATTGGTTACATATTAGATATTCATATGGGCATTCCATATCATTAATATAGGAGCATGATATGGAACTATCCATTGGTCTTCTGGTGTTAGGCATTTGTAAGTATATCTGTAATTATTTGGGTTGTAAAATGTGTACTCAGAAATGGGACGAGAAAAACCTTTTCTGCATGTTGACTCTGGTGGAGCTGGACCTCTGTATTTAGAGTTGCATGTGTGTATTTGAAAATTATAAACCTTTTGGTAAAGTTCCGGTTCTAAGTTAGGGTTGGGAAGGGTTGATCGAATCGTATTAGAATTGATCATTTCTAATATACTTGATGTCGTCCAGTAAACACCATGTAGGTGCGCTGCTCCACGGTTTTGAAATTCTATTCTGTCAAAAAAGTGAGAGTAGATTCCCCATTCACTAATGTCTGAATTTTTCCAAATGAATTTTTTGATGTTTTGTAGTCTGTGAACAATGTGTAATGTTGCATATAGTGGTCTGTTGGTCAATAACGAGTCTTCATTGTCTGTGTTAGTGAGTATATTACGAAGGTGAGTTCACGAACCTTCTGCCATTGATAATATAATAAATAATGTTGGAAGGCCAAGTTCACGGATCATTGTATTTAGATGCATATTTTTTTTTTGAAAGTAACCATTACCTGTATGAATGAATGTAGGGATAGGTGACATTTTTGTTTCATTATAGTGCCAGCCCCCAGTATAGGTGCTATGTTCGATAATTTCAATAGCTGTAGGTGGATGGTGAGTTTTATCGGTGGTGAATTGTCTGATAAGTCGTTGAGTATTCTGAAAATTTCCAAATTTTTCTAGTTGTAAATATACCTATGCGGGCCAGTAGTGATGTAGTCTAAATCGAGGATCTTTAGAAAATAAGCGATGTTTTATATATTTTCCAAGGGTGTTATGGCGTTGTTGTAAATTTTCTAATTGATTTCACATATCATAATAGTGGCCACGACCATTAGGATATAGATCTGGAAAGAGTAATAGTTCAAGATGTAGATCATTTATATCATTGTTAGTTATAAATCCAGCTATCAAGTGACGATAGTTTGCATCTTTGTTGTAGATTTCAGTAGAAAATTTTGGTGGGGAACTACTATATTGCCATATCAAAACAGAGGTGTGTTTTCATCAACAGACGAATGAACAGCTATAGGAAATTGAAGGTTTGAATTTGATATCGGTGGAATCATCAGTGAATATTGACATATATATGGATTATTTTCTTTGAGCCAATTAGTAGCATTAACCAGAGAGTTGTCAAACCAAGGAGAAAGTATAGATTGAGCAGAAGTTGAAGAGGCGAGGTAAGCGCCCAGTAAGCCAGAATATAAATTTAGAGAATTGAAGTTTTGTGAGTAATTCATAGTACTCACTAATATTCTGTATTCGGAGAAGGGATTGGCTCCAGGTGTTCTATCTAGAGAACAGTGAAGAAAGATAAAGGACAGGTATTTGTGTAATCTTAATAGTACTGATTCGATTTCAGCTAAAATCAAAGGTAGGTATGGTGGATAATTTCGAGTTGGGTTTGATTTGCATAAGGGGCATATTGCAATACGGTTTGCAGGTAGTACTGGATTTACAACCAATGATGTATAATTTTCAAGTGGGTTAAAAGTATCAGAATCTCGATGAATCCATATTGATTTTTCTGAATACATGAGTTTGGAGCAAATGGAACAGGGAACACACGGGAATTGAGATAGAATAGTGTTTTCAAATTTTTTTATTAGTTCTTGCATTTTTTCTGAGATAATCCACAGAGATGTTTCTAGATGAGGTGGATTGCTGAATTGAGTATTACTCTGGTCAGAATGTTGTAAGTCATCGTTATTAGAAGAAGTTAGATCGATTATTTCTTTATTATATTCTAAAGGTTCGATTTCAAGGATTCTGTGTACATAGAATGACATTTTAATAAAGAATATTTGTTTTATCAAGTAATATAGATAGTCTTGTTACTTTTGATACAGCATATATATATAATACATGTTAATAAAATATATAATCAATATTATAACTAATTGTGTAAAAAGAAAATAATACTTATAGAAAAAAAATATTTTAGTATAGAGGTATAAATATATATATACCACAAGTTAACTATATACATTATTTTATCAATTGACTAATTTATAAAGAGTAATTATCAAATTTAAATTAAAACTTTGCAATATATGAAATTTTTTTTTTATATGAATTGGATTTTTTTTATTAACAAAAAATACTTATGGAGACATTTTACATATATGATAAAATTTTTATAAAATTTAGACAACTTTTTATTAATATAGTTTTTAATTCAAACTTTATAAAAAAAAATTTATCAAATTTTTTTAACAAATTTTTAAAATTTGAAATAAATAAATAATATTAATAAACTTTATTTAAATTATCTCACAGAATTGTTTTACATATTAGAAAATATAAGTTTTTAAAATTTGGTTTCAATATATAAAAATTTTTCTCATAAAATTTTTAAATTAGCTAAACGAATTAAAACAATTTGCGAAAAAATTTAATTAAAAATTTCGAATTATAGTTTATTGGATTGAATCGAAAAATTAATGAGAAAATTTTTAATGTATCCTTATCAAAATTTTATAGTAGATATTTTCGACCATGGAGAACAACTTTCTTAATTATAATACCATATTGACAATGAGGATTTTCTGATATTTGTAATCAAATGTTTATTAAAATTTTTTAAAAATCGAAAATTTTTTTTAACTCACAAATTAAACCAAAAACTGTATTAGTAAAAAGTTTTTTAATTTTCATGAAAATAAGAACATATATATAAAATATCTCAAAAAACATTTTTTATTTAATACAAAATAATGACTTACATAATAAAAAAAATTTTTATATATACCAATTTTGTTATACGGAATATTAATGATTAATTTTTATTATCAGAGTCTTCGTTCTCTGAATACAAATCTAAATTTTCATCCTCATTTTTGTCACTTTCATCACATATTCCAACTTTGACCATTTCCTGGTAATTTCTTGCCTTACCTAGATATTTTCGCCAACATGAAACAACCAACTCAGATTTAATTTCTTCATGAAAAAAACGAAGTAAGTCATTTCGAAGAGAAAGTATGTTTTTGTACATTGGTTGCTCTGCAACTTTATTTTTTACAGCTTCCTATACCATTTCAATTGGTTGTAGCTCACAATGGTATGAAAGTGTAAAAAGCAGTTTATGGCCAAACTGCTTTGCGATATCAACAGTGGTGAAAGGTACAAATTGTTTCTCCTTTTTTACCAATTGGTATAGGTTTACTTTCATCATTTTTGCATCGTATTTAACTTTGTAGGACTCTAGCCATTCTTTTATCGCAGGTTTATTCCAGTTAGAAGTGGGTGAAGCTTCAGCACGATGTTTGTGATATCTTGCCCCATCTATGAATAATGCATGGTCTATATTCAGTACTAAGATTTTTACAAAGTTTCTTAAAAATTTTCTCAAATGTCTCTACATTAAAATTTCTATGATAATCTACCTTATCTGGAACAATACCTGCAGCTTTCACTTCATCGAGAACTGTCTCCCATTCTTTTGCATTTTTTTTCTTCCTTTTTTACTCAGTGGCTTTGTGCTAGGGTCCCAAATAAGAAGAGATTCACGAACGATTTCATCTTTTAGCTAGTTGGACTTTCTATTGCAGAATACGATGATAGCTTCAAAGATGACTAACATATGATTCTTTTCCTTTTCATAAACTACACCATCTTTTGGAACCTATGTCAAATTACAATTATAATACATATGACAATACGACTCATCAAGAAAAACTTCTGAAAGAGTCAGTATATCTTTTTTTTTTTAGATATTTTCAAATTGCCAACAGAAATATTGTGCCTGATACGCAATATTTTGAGGGGCTTCATAGAGAATATTTCATCATTCTTCCTTACCATAATGATACCCAAGTTTTTTTAAATAGAGTGCGAGCTGTACCTTCGAAACTGTAAAACCTAATTTAGATAGTTCTATGATAAGGGTTTGAAGAGAAAGAGGAGTATTACTTTTATTTCTAGCAAGAATTTGATCACGAATTACATCCACATATTCTATTTGAAAATCTTTGGGAGCCCATTAATCTTGTTTTGATGGTGCCACCTCTCCAGTTTTATTAAATTCAGCAACTATACAAGCAACAGTTGCTTCGCCAACTCCTGTTGCCAAGGCAACTTCTTTACGAAGGGTGGTAGCTTCACTTGACTG